AATCCAAACCCACTTCGGAGAGATGGACCCCATCGCGCCTATAATAACCTGGACGCATGTCTTCCAACTCCCTGTGCCGAATTACAACCCCTCCCAACCGCTTCACATACGCTGCCATCACCTTGTTGACTTTTCCCTTAATTTTTGCCACTGCGGAGGGATTCCACGCGTGTCGCCAGTAAAACCTCAGAACCATTTCCGACCATATGACCATAACCCCCAGCTTGTCCACATCCCTCTTCATACATTCAATCAATTCCTTTTGAGGTAACAACCCCACACCATTGCCCTCTGCGTGAAGCACCACTATGTCCGGAAACTGTCCCAAAAGAATTTTGTTAAACATTTCAACACAAATTGCATTCCAACCCCATCCTCTGTAACCAAACCACTGAAGCTGAACCACGGAACATGGAAAGCCCAGCTGTAAACCACGATGTCGAACTGCAGCTCTCCGATGTGCCCAGTATATGTATGAGTGGCCGACCACCCATGCCATCCGACCTGTAAGACATAATGCAAGCATAGACAAACACGAAAGCAAACCGCGAAACCAAAATTCCCCATCAACCACCCTTAGGATTTATACCAACTTGTCTGGCCTGACGTAAGATCTGAACCTCACCGACTCCCACCTGCAAATCTTCTTCACCCGCTCATCCCCAAGCCCAGTCTTGCCGCTTCAGTAGCTGCGCAAATCCAAAAGGAATGAGTCCCGAATTGGCCAGAGTCCACCCTCGGGTCTTTGCAGGGGAAAATCAAGCATTTCAACATGGGGCCATAGTCACAGGTCAGGAGGCTGGCAATCAGTCTTCTCCAATGCCTTGTGGCGAGTCTGGTTCCACCACAGGAATGTAGGTTTAGAATTATTAAGGATTTATAAACGTATAATTGAGGTCATTGTAACATTGTATTTCACATACACCGGGGAGGACAATGGGCATTGGACACACTCTGGAGAACGGCCAATGGGTGATGCCTGGAGAATGTGGCTCGTGATCTGATGTTTACACATAGATTTATAAATAATGTAACATTGTATTCCACATACACCGGGGTGGACAATGGGCATTGGACACACCCTGGAGAATGGCCAATGGTAGATGCCTGGAGAAGGTGGTTCGTGATCTGATGTTTACACATAGATTTATAAATAATGTAACATTGTATTCCACATACACCGGGGTGGACAATGGGCATTGGACACACCCTGGAGAACGGCCAATGGTGGATGCCTGGAGAAGGTGGCTCGTGATCTGATGTTTACACATAGATTTATAAATAATGTAACATTGTATTCCACATACACCGGGGAGGACAATGGGCACTGGACACACTCTGGAGAACGGTCAATGGTAGATGCCTGGAGAAGGTGGCTCGTGATCTGATGTTTACACATAGATATATAAATAATGTAACATTGTATTCCACATACACCATGGAGGACAATGGGCATTGGACACACCCTGGAGAACGGTCAATGGTAGATACCTGGAGAAGGTCGCTTGTGATCTGATGTTTACACATAGATTTATGAATAATGTAACATTGTAATCCACATACACTGGGGAGGACAATGGGCATTGGACACACTCTGGAGAACAGCCAATGGTAGATGCCTGGAGAAGGTGGCTCGTGATCTGATGTTTACACATAGATTTATAAATAATGTAACATTGTATTCCACATACACCGGGGAGGACAATGGGCATTGGACACACCCTGGAGAACGGCCAATGGTAGATGCCTGGAGAAGGTGGCTCGTGATCTGATGTTTACACATAGATTTATAAATAATGTAACATTGTATTCCACATACACCGGGGAGGACAATGGGCATTGGACAAACCCTGGAGAACGGCCATTGTTAGATGCCTGGAGAAGTGATCTGATGTTTACACATAGATTTATAAATAATATAACATTGTATTCCACATACACTGGGGAGGACAATGGGCACTGGACACAGTCTGGAAAACGGCCAATGGTAGATGCCTGGAGAAGGTGGCTCATGATCTGATGTTTACACATAGATATATAAATAATGTAACATTGTATTCCACATACACCGGGGAGGACAATGGGCATTGGACACACCCTGGAGAACAGCCAATGGTTGATGCCTGGAGAATGTGGCTCGTGATCTGATGTTTACACATAGATTTATAAATAATGTAACATTGTATTCCACATACACCGGGGAGGACAATGGGCATTGGACACACCCTGGAGAATGGCCAATGGTAGATGCCTGGAGAAGGTGGCTCATGATCTGTTGTTTACACATAGATATATAAATAATGTAACATTGTATTCCACATACACCGGGGAGGAGAATGGGCATTAGACACACCCTGGAGAACGGCCAATAGTAGATGCCTGGAGAGGTGGCCCGTGATCTGATGTTTACACATAGATATATAAATAGAATTAATTGTCCTTCATCATCTCAATATCACCAGTTTTCTCTGATAAGTGGATTCACGATGTGGGTTCCTGTGTTTTTCGTGTTTATTCTTTTTTTGTCTGTCTGCAATATAAAGGGAAATCAACTAATAAAGGATAACAAAGACCAAGAAAACATACCAATCACCATCTCTGTACCTAATGGTGGTGGTGCTGGGATATGGGGACCCCTAGAAGTTTGTCCAAAAAATACCAGTGCCAGGGGGATCTCTGTAAAGGTATAGTATATACATATTATTTTTAGCTTTTTTTAATTTATGGCATTTTAGGGTATTAATTCCATGTTTTATTGAATTATACAAATGTTGTTACAATGTAATACACAATACTTTGTTAGTTAGACTTATCTGAAAAGTATAGCTTTGGATGATAATACAGAGTTAGGAAGCCTGTTCTGGGACTTCTTAAAACAGATGTGTCTTATTAACTCAAGTCAAAGCTGTTCCAAGTAAAGAAAAATAAATAATTATTAAACATTTTTAACACTTTTCATTTTAACCTCTAATCTAACATTAGAATATTCATCTGTATTCTTCTCTGAATGCAGGTAGAGAAAAATCAGTATATAGGAGATGATACGGCACTAAATGGCATCAGAATCTACTGCGAGAGGAAAGACGGCACTTCTGGTAATAACCCAAGACAATCAGCAAATGGAAGGTTAGAGAAACTGGCTCAGGGGTGGATTTTTAGTTTTGAAAACGCTTACTCTAGATTCCACGTGCCGCAAATTGCATGAAAATAGTATTAAGCTTCTTTGTTTTATTGGGGATAAATTTGAAGAAAGTATCGTAGAAAATGTTTTTGTCAGAACTGCATGGTGTCAGAATGAGGGACCATCTTTTTGGTACAATTGTATGTACGCCATGATTATTAGTACACATCAGAATGTTGTGTGTAGTTAAAACATCTTAATTTGGTGTCATTACTGCCCTACCATATCCCTAAAATTATTATTACTAAGGTTTTTGTTGTAATGACCCTTAATTTAATATTTTAGGGATAGGGGTAATTTTAATGTTAAAGGACCACTATAGTGCCAGGAAAACATACTCGTTTTCCTGGCACTATAGTGCCCTGAGGGTGCCCCCACCCTCAGGGACCCCCTCCCACCGGGCTCTGGGGAGAGGAAGGGGCTAAAATCTTACCTCTCTCCAGCACCAGGCGGGGAGCTTTCCTCCTCCTCTCCTTCTTCCTAGCGACGTCATCGGCTGAATGCGCATGCGCGGCAGGAGCCGCACGCGCATTCAGCCAGTTCATAGGAAAGCATTTACAATCCTTTCCTATGGATGCTGGTGTCTTCTCACTGTGATTTTCACAGTGAGAAGCACACAAGCGCCTCTAGCGGCTGTCAATGAGAAAGCCACTAGAGGCTCTAGAGGCTGGATTAACCCTCAATGTAAACATAGCAGTTTCTTTGAAACTGCTATGTTTATTAAAAAAAGGGTTAACCCTAGCTGGACCAGGCACCCAGACCACTTCATTAAGCTGAAGTGGTCTGGGTGCCTATAGTGGTCCTTTAAGGTTATATTTTCCTTAACCCTAATCTACCATGCACAACACAGGTTTACCCTAAATTAGCACCTGCTCCTTCTATAATTCTGCATTTTTAAATAGAATGTATATCCTGGCTTCCTAGGCTTAACTCTTGTCTCTTAAATATTTCCTCCTAACCCTAACTTTGAATTCTTAAATAGATTATTACAAGCTTAGAATCGCGATTCACTAAATTTTTAGATTTCTTCCTAATTCTAGCTTGACGGTACTCTGAAGCAAGCACACACTAACTGTAAATTTACATTTGGTGCTAAGAGGAGAGACATTATAAAAAAGAAAATCTAGCGCACTCCCTTATCCACTAAACAGCAACTTCGCTGCTTTAAAATTTTGTCCGTTTTTTTAAAAACACCTAATCTAGGCAAAAAATAATGGGGGTCTAGTTACGTTATATGATCATACATTGGTTTTGCTCCCCTCCCTGTCACAGGTGCTTCATCCCAGGGCCCCATGTAGCCTTGTAATGCAGAGAACTCCAGATGGAATTTTTTCCCCAAATAAATAGCTCATGAAGCAGAAATTAGGCTGGTAGAGTGGGACCTGCCAAAGATGGGGTAAAGAGAAGAGACATTAAACATGCCGAAAAGTTGGTGAAGAACCTCACCGTTTTAATGCACAATTAGTCTTGCTGCAATATATCTTTATAATTATGTCTTTTATAACTGTTTTAGTCATTCATTTCTCAGGTTAGAGAGGAATAAGTACTTTAAAATTGCTGCCCAACTCTAACCTGTTACTGTCTTCTACAGCTGGGGGGAATGGAAACCCATTCGTTGGTGTCTACGGGGTTTCATAGTGGCATTTACTCTAAGAGTTGAAGAATACAAAACTGTGGGTGATAACACAGCGGCGAACAACATCAATGTTATGTGTTCGGAAGGAGAGTATTTGGAAGGAGAAGGGCTGAGTTGGGGTTCTTATGGTGCATGGAGTAATAGTTGTGACAATGAAATCTGCGGGATAAAAACCAAAATTCAAGAAAATCAAGGTCTTTTACACGATGACACAGGTCTGAATGACGTCCAATTTTCATGTTGCTAACGTGAAAAGATTCAGTGCCATTCTTCCCAACAGGGTCTTTGATGGTTTTTGGGATATCTGATTTCTAAGGTAACTTGGCACATCCGCTGAAGATCGAGAAACGTGTTTAGTGGCAGCAGTAGGAAATGTAAATCTTCACACAAATAACACCTTGAATCTACACAGTATCGAATCTGAGCTTCATCTGAAAAAGGGCAGGCTAAATTTAAAGGAACACATCGGAACTGACACACTGCTAATCAGTGTAACTGGACTGTATGAATGTTTGCTTAGACCATAATTCTCTCCTATACACAATTTAACATTTCTAATAGTTATCCAATTTATCAATCATGTAAAATTAATAAGCTCTAGTAATATCTAGTGTTGAAATCTTGCAGATACTTAGAAGGGCTGCATTAAAATCAATTGTCTTATCGTGACATCTAACAGGTACTTTCGGTGTGCATTCATTATATTGATACATTTTGAATATGAATGTTGAGATTGAAAAAGTGGAATGTTTGTTTCTGTTTTTGAGGGCTGATTTAATCGTAGATTTCATAAAGAAATAAAATGAGGCAATGACACTTTAAAAGCATTTAATTGTAGTGGTTATGGTGCCAGGCCAAGTATACCAGAGACACCTAGCTTTAGATGATGGGAGTACCCCAGCTTTTGTAAACCACTGAAACATGATATAACACTAACTTGAGACAGCACCTGAAGACCTATTATACCACAAGCATTGCAGTTATTTGTAGTGGTTATGGTGCATAGATTGCTCTTTTAGCTAAGAAGGTTCAGAAGGAAGAATGACCCGATTAGGGGAGATTTCAAACTGGTCTTGTTTGATAAGTAGAGGTGTCCATATTATGTCAAACGCAAAAAAACAAAAATAAATATTCTGACAAAGTTAGAGAAAAAAATATTAAAAGGAAACAAAATAATCACAGCTTTTCTACAAGTTACGTCAAAGCTTTTAATAAAGATATTGATTAATACCAGTTTTAAGATCTTGTGTGTCTCAGAGCTTTAAGTGAACCACGTAGAAGAGATCCATATAATCATATAACCACGTGGCATTAAATCAGTAACACCCTTGACTAACTGGAAGCCTTGCCATAGTATGAATAACAGAAATCCAAATGTTTATATTTTATACCTTACAGAAATGTCAGCTGAGCAATGTGCACTCCTATGGCCACGCACACCGCATCTACACTTTTACAATTTCATTAAATCTGGAATGTATTTTTTATTGGATAAAGGGTTGGCAAGATGGGAGACATGGGAACGCAATTGTAACGGATCACCTGGCACCCCGACTGGGTACCTCCGTTGATGGATGCTCCTAGTGCTTCCCGAGGGCTCCAAGCACTCCACTTGACACCATAAGCACTGCGGACTGAACCGCTCTTCCTTCAGAGAGCGAAGCAGGAACAAGCTCTTTAACAGAGCTTAGTGATTATAGCCAGGGGAGTATACAGAGTATAGCAATCCCCCAGTGTAGATGCAGCCTTTCCCCCCACACATGAGACGAGGCTATATGTTGAGGGTAAAACAGGAACTCAGCAGTCTGAGGGTTTATTGGCACTTATATACAGGTTTTCCCACAAGGTTACCACCCACGTTGACCTTGTGGGATACAGGAAAAAAAGATGTTAAAGCCAATCAAAACATGACAGTAGAGTCAGACAATCCCAGCCAAGGCACACAAACACTCCCCTCTGCCTGTGATATAATTACTGTACACAATGGGTTAACTTAAAGGATCACTATAGGGTCAGGAACACAAGCATGTATTCCTAACCCTATAGTGTTAAACCTACCATCTAGCCCCCTGGACCCCTCATGCCTACATAAATATAGTAAAAATCTTAATGTATTCAAGCCTGAAGCTGTAAATCTGCATGCTGTTAGACTCAGAAAAACAAGCAGTCTGCTGACATGTGGTAGCCTGATCCAATCACAGAGCTTCCCCATAGGATTGACTGAGACTGACAAAGAGGCAAATCAAATCAGGGGCAGAGCCAGCATGATTCTAACACAGCCCTGGCCAATCAGCATCTCCTCATACAGATGAATTGAATCAATGAATCTCTATGAGGAAAGTTCAGTGTCTGCATGCAGAGGGAGGAGATACTGAATCACAGGATGCTGTGCACAGTGCTGCCCTGTGCTCTGCTGACAGCAGATCTGAGTGGATGGAGGCATATGCCTCCATCAACTCCGAAGTCCCTCTGGTTCATTCTGAGTGACTGCAACTGGAGGTGTTCCTAGCTTTCAATGTTAACACTGTATTTTCTTAGAAAATACAGTGTTTACATGAGATAGGCTGCAGGGAGCTATAGTTCTCACTTGAACAACCTCATTAAGCTGAAGTTGTTCAGGTGACTATAGTGTCCCTTTAATTATCACAGGCAGGAAAATATATAGTTTTACACAATATTAATAACTTCCAAACTATACATGCAATTCACATACAACATACATATTCTGAACGAGCATAAACAGTGTACAAACATATGTGAAAATCATCCAAATTGGTCCAGTCGTTCAAAAGTTAGATGGAAGTCCTATTTGACCGACCGCAAGCATGGCTTTCCTGCCCAAAAGAGTTTTGGGCTGTGCGATCGGTCTATTTCACACAGAAAAACGACTAAGTCCCACTTGAATGCACGAATGGCGCCCGTTATAACGTGGCATTCGAATCGTCAAACGCACTTCGATTTACGTTGAAGTGGAGGAGAAGGTAAGGTTCAGAGGTGTTCGTGCTGTCATCTAGCCGATTTCAGTTCCATGAGTTCGACGGCAAAACACAGCTGACCTTGTTTGACTAACAAAGATGGCTGCCGCCACGTGTTTGACTGTACGAACGGTGGCCACCCAGTGGTCGGCAATTAACCTGCGGTTAACCACCAGCCTGGGAGGTAAATTGGCGGCACACTTCCACTTGTGTGTGGTCTGCCTGTTTGTTAATTTGTTCGGTAAGCCCCATTTACCAAAACCATATAGGAAATAGACACGAATAAAGTATTTTCACAGTCTGGGGACACAGTTTTAAAGGGGCATTGTTCCCAAAAGTCTCAATATGCCCAAATAATAGTTTTAAAGGGCCATACACCCCAAGGCCATAATCCTGAGACAAAAGGCGAGCAAACAGGCCTCTCCAGAACCCAGTGGCAAGGTTATTTTCGCCACAGCAATATTGGTCAAAAAAATGGTTCTACGCAGATCCTTTCTATGTGCAGAGAATGGCCCGTTGTTAAATGTATCAAAATTAAAATGAGTCTTCAGCCGGTAATGTTTTTCCAATGTAAATACAGTCAATGAAAAAACGAGGTAACCGAGAAATCTGCTTGTGACTGTAGGTACTGCCCTTTGGAGTTTGCTGTTTACTGCGCACAGTATTTTTTTTTTTTAAAGCTGACTATTTGAGTGAAAGCAAGAAACTGGTGGAGAAGGACTAGAAGTATAGCTCCGGACAGCACTGATAAGCTGAGAGTGTTGGGGGTAGGAGCACGCAATATATTCAGAAACTTATTGAAACTTGAATATGCCAAGAAATTATCTTATCAAAAATACTGTATAAATATACATTATCTGTTCATATAATCCATGAAAGCATACATTTATAACAACTCTTAGCCCTGACAGCTTTGAAATGTATTTATTTAGTTATTTATAAAATATTTTACCAGGAAAGATACATTGAGATTTCCATCGTTTTCAAGTATGTCCTGAGTCCACAAATCATTGCATTGTTACATTAGGGTACAATAAAATACAAAAACAATATTAATACACAATATATACAAAATGTAACATAGAACAGGTAGGAAATATATAATCAACCATGGCAGGTGCATTCTGTTTTGAGGTATGTAGAGAGGGATCTCTTAAAGGACTTTTAAAGTGTGCAGAAGTTCGTTCCACAATTGCGGCGCTCTGTAGTAAAACGAGGATCGGGCTGATTTCTTTTTGTATTGAGGTAGACTAAATAAAGTGCTGGTACTGGATCGGAGGTTATAGGAGGTGGGAACAGCCGGGGAGAGCATTCTGTTCAGGTAGGGTGGGAGCTTCCCAGAAAAGGCTGGAAAGATAAAGGGTGCGTTTGGATTCCAGCGACAGCTAGTTTAGTTATTTTAGCATGTCACAATGGTGAGTCCTGTAATTACATTGTAGCACAAAGCGGCAGAACGAGTTTTACAATGTATTGAGTTTATTAAGGTGGGTTTGTGGTGCAGGTGCATATACTATACTTGTATTACTTGTATTATTACAGCTATTTGTATAATATTAACTTATTTTATTAAAAGAAAAAAAAAGGGCACTCTTAGAATTCAAATTGAGCACCACTATTCTGAATACATTTTTTGGGGAAAAAAGAGTTGAACGCAGAGCCTGAATGTATACTGCCTAGTGCCCCATGTAGGAAGACATATTGGAACCACCTCATACAGTCCTGGGCTCTGTATCTGTGAGTGTTGTGTGTGGTAGCTGAGTGTTCTGTGTATGTGTGTGTGGAAGACTGAGTGTTGTGCTTGTGTCAGATGGCATGTAGCAGATGAAGGCTAAGTCTGCCTGTGTGTGCTGTTTAAGTGTTGTGTGTTTGGTGGCTGGATTTTGTGGGTAAAAGAGTCTGAGTGTTTTGTATGTGTATAGGGGAGCCTGAGTGTGGATGAGTGTTGTGTGTGTAATCTCTGTGTGTATGTGTGCGTGTGTTTGTTTCCCTTCTACATTCCTTTCCCTCATGCTCCTGATCAAGATCCTTGGTGGTTTGGTGGGGGAGCATTGTAGTCTACATTTTAAGAGCTATCTTGCAGTTCGGGAGCTCAGTCAATGACTCAAAGTGCTGGCTGAGGTCCTCTGATTCATCAAGAGGGAGCTCATAAACTGGTCTGCACCCAGTAGAGATGCTCCCAGTATGAAATGAGGGTCACAGGGCTGACTAGGGAGATTATTCAGAGATTTGTTTTGGGGTGGAGGGATTATTTGAAATTCCTTGGTAATTCTTAACATTTAACAGAATAAGTTCATGCATTTCTTTGTTTTATTCTTCTCAGCCACCACTTCCCTGTATATTAGTCGTTGTGTTTTACATCAATTGTTTAGTTACTGGTAAGCTTCAAAATGCATTTCTTGATTGTATTTGTCTGACATCTCCCCTATATTTATTGAATATTCACATCTGCATACAAAGGTCCACACAGACACTAAAAAAAAACAAAAACACATAACTCATACTATCATAGCAACCTACTTTTCAACCCTACTCTTACCTTTTGTTTCACTATACCCCACTCCCTCTAGCATGTAAGCTCATTGAGCAGGACCCTCAATCCCATCTGTTCCTGTGCGTCCAACGTGTCTGGTTACAAATACTTGTCTGTTAGTCCACCCATTGTACAGTGCTACTGAACTTGTTGGAG